AAAAATAATATAAAGTAACTTCTCAAATTATTACGTTTTATAATTTTATTAGATTTTAATTTTTTGTATTTAATGAAAAATTCATATAGAAAAAGTTAATATTGGAAACAAAGAGTTGCGGAAAATTTTCTCTTAAAACGGTAAAAAAAAAAGTTACGAACAAAAAATTATATTAAAAAAATAAAGACAAAAATTATACTTTTACTTTTATTTATTATAATTTTAAAAGATGTAAATATTAAAATACCCTCACAAAATCTTAAAAAGGATATTAGTTGTTACGGTAAACCAAACACCCCTAAAAGTAGAGTTTGAGTCCTAACTCCAAAACATGTAAGTGAGAAAATAACATAATGAAAACATTTGTGTGAGTTTAGTGTTTATTTTTTGCCATGAAAGTAGAATTTGAGTTGTATTCATATAAATAGGGTAGGTAAGAAAGAGAGCTTTAACTATGCAACAGAAAATTTACAATATGGTACTTATATTAATTTATAATTAATTATTATCTAAAATAATAATAATTATTTCTTTTATAACCAATTATTTCTTACCTTGATTTTTGAGTCTAGAAGATAATTTTTCAAGCTTAAACTAACTAAAAAAAATGTTGCCTCTCTTAAAGATTGTTTTCAAGAGATAAATAACCAAATAGGTCCTTAACGCTTTCAGAATTTTTGGCAAACCAAACACACCTTTTAAATTGGGAAGCAGTTCCAATGATAAATAATCAATTATATATAATCTATCATATTGTATGCCCTTGGAATGTTTCCTTTCAAATGCAAGCCGCAGCTCATGGCTTCGGGAAAAACTTCTCTTCCGAATTCCTTGTGAACCAAACGCGCCTCAAATCGCGTGACATGTTTTTATTTCTTCAATGTACATGACTTTCCATTAAAAAAATGTTTTACACGTGGCTATCCATAAAAATAATGTTTTACAGTGTACAACAAATAAACACATGCCATTTTTTTTTTTTCAAAAAAAAAAAATCAATAATTTTAATTTTTAAATCAAACTATACAAGTAACTAAAATCACAATTTGAAATTCGAAATATATTTCCTTGTCTCACGAAATAGAAAATGGATTAATTAATCCAAGTCTATTCTATAGGAAGAAACCAACGAACAAGGCGCAAGCAAGAACAGGAGCAACATGCAAAGATGACAATTGCATTCGCCCAGCCGATGATGTTCTGCCACGAGTTCCTACGCCAACAGGCCGAATTCTCTTTCTCACATAAACCCGGAGCTCCCTATTGTCAATGGAATTCAGGATTTTTCAGTCTCAGAAAGAGGTTGGTGACCAGATGGAACCAACTGGTGGCTTTCCTGTGCTAAAACACGAGGAGATTGACATAACAAGAGAAGGGTGAAGAGGGAGAAAACAAGAATCAATTTCATGGAGGTCATTATGAGTTGATTGATTTGATTATAGTAGAATTGAAAAAGAAGTGGCATGAGATTTATATAAGCAGTGGAGGAGGGACGTTGCCGAGTTGGGTTGGGGGCAGAGCAAACAGGATAATAATGGTGGCGTCTTTGACTCTGAAGGGGTGTGTAACCACTCGGCAAAATTGAATGGATTTTTTCAAAAGTCGTTAAATTCAATAATTTGGCAATTAAGAAATATGAGCAACGCGCCAAAGTAGAAAACTGGATTATAAAAGGTTTTTTTTGTTTTTTTTTCATAATACCCACTGAGAATCATTTGAAGGAAATTGTGAAGTCAGGATGTTGACCCACGCGGCGGGATGGAATGGAAGCCAAAGAAGAGAATTCACAATGGATTTCTGTTAATCTTTAAAAATTATACTAATATTTTTTTATTAATCATAAAATGAGTTTTTAAATAAATCTATAAAATGATGGCCAATACTACATTTAACCTCATAATATAATTAAGATACCAACAACGTTGCACTAGCGGCCCAAGTTAGGGTGGCAATGTGTTGCAAAAATCTTGGTCTATGCCAAAATTCAAGTCTCAATAGAGACAATTGTAATATTTTTCCTTTCTTCTCAAAATTCTCCTTGTTCAGAACCAAAAAGAAGAAGAAGAAGAAAAAGATATCAATAATATTATATTTATAATATTAAATAAAATCTTATGACATTTAATGAAATATAATATGATACATATAACATTACAAGTAAACTCCTAAATAATAAAAAATTAATTATATAACAATACATTATGTTATAAACTTATGTCATGTAAAATTGTATTTAAAACATTTTTGGTAAGATATTTCCCAACATTATAAACTTACAACTACTTTTATTCAAAAAGTCACACCCACATGTGATGTATTTATCCATTTCTTTAATATTACATTATTAATATAAACTTATAATAGTGACATTGTAACTCTAAAATTTCCCTTAAATTTTACAGTTTTTAGTTTTTCCTTTCAATATGTGCTGTCCAGTACCAAGTCTTCCTGAATTTTTTTAAAAAATATTATAATACCAACCACAATGTGTCGAATTCTCAGGTCTTAGATAAAAAATAATAATAACAATGAACAAATAAACGCACGTTGCAAAAACAACAGAAATACCATTTATCTAATTGATTTGACTTCATCATATAATCTGTTAAAAAGAAAACATGGGATTTTTATGAACTGAGTTCAACAAAAAATTAACTAAATTACTGAGTCACAAAAGGGGAAAAAAAAAAAAAAACTGATAACAAAACCTAATCAAATACAAAACAACCTGAACCCATAAAAGGGCAGGACAGGTCTTCTAGAGCAATTTGGCATGTAATTCGCCAATGCTCAAGCACAAAATCCATTGCATTATGGTGTTTAAATCTCCTTTCTCAATAAACACACTGCTATGACCTTCGGAAAAATATACAACTCATAGAGAAAAAATATATATATTACCTGTCCTTGGTACTTGGCAGCTCCACCTTATCAAAATGATACAAGTTGTTTGCCTCAAAAAGGGATAACACCATGAAGAAGTGGGCATAGGCATGGTAAAAGTCCTTGTGGAGATAGTTTGAAGTTTTGCATGCAAAGCAAAGCTATGCTTACTGGAATAGACTGCGGCAGGCTTCAATCTCGGAGGCGTTTGCATCCAATACAGCTTGCCCTGAAGGACTAGCATTGATAATACTCAATGCTGCATCGAATACAAATTTCTGGAATCGGTAGTCCTCCACCTTTTTCAGAACTTCCTTCACGACACTGAAATCCAGTCCCCTGGCCAAAACTAGTTTCCCCATTATTTCTCCAAAATTATTAGGCGCCCTTGGTAAATCAATGCCAACATCATCCAGCATAGTACCATAGAGCAAGCACCCAGTCTGTATGTCTCCAACAGTAAGAACCTTTTTATTAAGCAAGTATTCCAAAAGCTTTGCAACTAGCTCAACACAAGCCGGACTTTTGTCTAAGCCAAGGGAGATTGCTTCCTTGACAACCTCAGGATGGTGCAAGGGAGCGTTTAGCTCCTCAATACACTTCAGTGCTTCGTCCAATAGCCTAACACCAAAGTATTCCTCCAGAAGTGCGGTTGTCTTTCTCTGAAGATCTTCTGGATTTAACCTTGTACCTGGACCTTGGGGTTTCCCTATAACTGGAGGCATAGCAGCAGCAGGTGCAGGTTTAGCAGCAAGTGGGAGTTGCGATGAAGGCTCTGCACCCAAAATAGAGTTAGCAGGTCTAGTAGGAGGGGTATTACTGCCCTGCAACAGAGCACTTGTTTTACCACTGATCAGGCCAGCACTACCCTGAGGTAAATATCTTGAGCTCATTGAAGTTGTTTTATTGATTAAAGGTGACTGATTGCGTCCTCCAGTCTGCACAGCTGATCCATCACTACCCCTCGGCATTGACCGTGTTCTAGGGAACTCCCAATTTTCACTGTCAATTCCAGGCATACCAGGCATTCTCCTAGTTCCAGGCATGCCAGGCATCATTCCCCCAGCACCAGGTCGGGCAACAGGAAAACCACCAGGGCCAGGACTTACTGGACCTACAGAAATAACACGATTATTTCTAATGCTAGCAGTAGCACCCGGACGCAGCCCAAGATTTTTCTCAGCCTCTGAGTGGATTTCGATGATTGTTTTGGCTTTTACCTGCAAAAATCAAAGTACAAAAGTGGAAACTGAAGATTAAAACATTGTTTGATGGACAAACATATTTGGGGTCATAAACAAGTGATGGCATTTCCAAGCTACCTCCTCACGCCTTGGAATCCAGTTGTTTGCACGAAGATCAAGAACATTACAAACCATGAATCTCAGTCGCGGAGCCAACTGAGGGTTTGAAGCCAATTCTTTCAATCTGTTAAAGTACACATCATTTAGGCGCCGGGACTTTGGACTCTCATCCAGATGCTTACCAATAGTGTTAAAGAACTGACAAATAGCTTCAACATTTTCTTCTGCGGGACAAGCTTTGGTATCGTGGCCCAAAAGTTCCTGTTTTGACATATCAAGTGAAGATGAGAAGCCTTGAATAAAAAATTATATAAGATATTTCAATTTTCAGAGTTTAAAGGATCACAGACAAATGTCATTTGCACAAACCTGCACAATGTGATGTACTATCTTCTCAGGTACCATCTTCTGCTTCAGAAGCTCTCCGATCAAACGGATGTTTCCAAGAGTACGAAGCTTGACCATTCTTTCTTTATCCCTACGATCCATCTCTTGTTCTGGAGCAGTCATCTGCCTCACTTCTTCCCTTAGTTTGTCAGCACCCTCAAATGCCTCTTGGCAGTTATTCAAGAGGACTCGCTTAAACGTGATTTCTTTGCCATCAGGTTCATCGGATGGAAATGAAGGAAGCTTTTCATTGAGATCAGAACAAAGAAGGGCATACATAGGGCAAAATGTAGGTTCCAGAACAGCCTTCTCAAATGTTAGAGAGATCACATCCTGCAGCAAATGTTTGTAGTGAGTCCAAAGATAGATGTAATAACCAGACAAAAACAAGAAATCTAGACCACAACTTGTAGTATCTAAAGAGAGTAACCTTCAAGATATCAGCTGATGTGATCCCAGAATCTATAAGTTGGCCCTTAAGAAGATCATACTTCTCTGGAGTCAGCTTGTTCAGTATCCTGTACAGAAAACAAAAGCAAATTATAATTTCAAGAAATCCAGTCAGGTCACTCAAGGATTTTGTACAGTATTGAAAACAACCAGAGAGCTTATGTAGAAGAACCAAAGCCTCATGCACCTATGTATCTTTTAGAAGAGAGGGTAATCAAATGAGGAATTCAAACAGGTGCTTCGATCATAAATGTGAGAATGAGATCCCAATTTTGATATCATTGCTAATATATCAGTTTTATCTAAAAGTTTAAAACTGCAGGTCTTGATCATGCTGGAGACAAACCACGTGAAGTAGTTTATGTTAAATTTAACTTTTGTGAGTCTACATATATGACTTGTGTTGGCAATTTGATTATACATTATTGCTGATAAAAGGCAGTTGGTTACTATAAATGCTCTAATTTTGATCTGTAAATATCAAAGACATAAATTAGAGATCAAATAAAATTATTCATGCACCATGAGGAATTAGGAAATAGATATATATAATAAATTACCCATTCACAGTCCTCAAGACACGCTCCTTATCCGAAATGTTCCCCCTTCGAGCAGACCATGGCACCTCGGCCTTAACTAAAGTAGGAGCAGGTCCTCCCTGATTCAAAAAGGAAGACAAGAGTTTATAATGAAGCAAAATAACAAACAAGATATGTATCATGATAAACTAGAAGACTGGAACAGAACGCACACCAATGAGCCAATCAAAAATCAAAACCAGAAATTGCAGTGTTGCACATGCAAAGACAGATTCTGGAAGGCAATTTTAGCTAAACAATCATCACAACATCATATCAAAAAAATTATGCAATAAACATGGTCAAGACTAGTGACAACAACCAACACATACAATCCATCAAGAAATTGAACCTGGAAAATAACTATAAACATCTAAAAGAGCACTGAAAAAAGGTCAGAAATAGAAAAAATTGCATCTATCTTCATCAATTACCCTACCCCTTGGTTAGAAGAAATCTGTGTTCTAGAGAACTGAGAGCTGAGTTGGTCTTGACGATTTGCTTCTTGCTGCCTTGTGTCATGTCTGCCACCAAGCTCCCTGTCTCGAAGAGATTCCCAAGGCCTCTCATCTCCAGATGAAGGAAACTGTGCTGAGCGGCCATGCCAATCACGATTGTCTGGTTCAGAATAGCGACTCTGAGTTTGGTTTGATGGCTAGCAAAAGTTAAGAAAAGGCAAGGAATGTAAATACAAAAGCATGGCAATTGCAAAAGGCTAGAAATATAACAATGACAATTTGAACATATAAGAATTTCAATAAGCCAGAAAACAAACAACAAAATTTCATTTACCAGCAAGAACCAATGAACAGAAAAGGCAATATAATGCAAGCAAAAAAATCTGGGAACTTACATTGCTTTCCCCACGACCCCAGTTTTGGTCTTCACCAAAGAGTTCAGCTTCAATTTCTTGTTTGACTTTTAGAATATCATCAGATGCTTCAACACCCTAGGAGAAGAATCAAATATAGCATCGGATTTCAGATATTATAGTATCACCAGCAAGCAATTGCAATGCCTTTTGCACATAAGAATGCCAACAACCGTAATGAAATGCAGCTGATAAAAAATTCGAAAAAATAAAAGATTTACTGCACATGTCATGGACATTCAAAATAAGGAAACCCTGCTTTGTGATCATGATTCCAAGAAAAAGCAATCTTTCTACTTAATGAAAAATTCCATCATTAGGAGCAAAAACTTAAACTGTTACATTGAAGTTTACATTAATAGTTCATCAAATAAAGATAGCAATTCAAGCCCTTGACCAAGGATTGGTAATTTCTTTTAGTCAATGTTTTTACGCATGCACCACAAGCATAAATTCAAACTAATACCTCTCTGAGCTGGAGAAGCTGATCTCGAGTGTAGCGCACACGTTCATGACCCTCAAATCGCAGGTCTCCAGCCTACCAAAAAAAGGATTGATAATTTGAGACTTCAATAATAAATGAAACACTTCAATATGCAACTTGTAAAAAAACTTCATAAACTCAGCAACCTCTGCAATGAGTTGCCAATTACAATACAAAAAGAAAGCTTCAAATTATAAACTACTATAAGTACATTGAATGACAAAAAATTTTGTTCCATTACATTCACATCATCCAACCTAAATTAAGAAACAGGATTCACTAGATACAAGAACCATCCAAGCAAATGGTCATCAGATAATTCAGAAGTTATATGCCAAGCCCCAAATGTAAAAGGGAAAAGAAAAGTAAAATAGCATGGCCTTACAAACTTTGACGAAAAAAAATCATTGACAAAACATTATTCTACTAATAAGGATCAAAAAAGGGACAAAGTGAACCAATGACAGAAAGAGATTGACCACTAATTGAGTGTGCAATGGTTCCCTGGCTGAGATAACTTATTGTTTCAACTATATCCCTCTATGCAGTTCTTCCACCACGAATTATCAGAATTCCCATAAAAATATAGAAAATTTATGCAAACAGCTCCTTCCAAAAGAAAACCCTTTCTATCAACTCAATCAAATTACAGGAATGCATTGTAAAGTCAATAAAATAAACCAATAACCAACCCAAGATTTTTCAGGGATATACATATTGCCATAAGGTCACAGCAGTAACAATTAGATCAAAAACTCAAAAATCAAAATCAACAAAAAGTCATAAGAAAACACTAAAGATTCAAATTTTTTTAAGCTCGTGATCCACTCTTACTCAGAATTCAATCCAGACCATAACATAAGCTTGCCCAATCAAAAATTTAGCGGACACCCAATCTGAATCAAACAAAAAAACATCTAACACAGAAAACTGCCACGACCCACATAAGGAAACCAATAAAAAAACACAACTTATTCAAAACCCATAAACAAAACCACACAAAAAGCGTAGATCCAGGAAAAAATGACATGAGTTTGAATGAAGAAACGATTTAAATCTTACCTTTATAGAGAAAGGAGAAGCGCCGCCATGAGGACGAAAGAGAGGAAGATCAGATGATAATGAACCGAAAGATAGAGAAGAAGAAGATGATGAAGAAGGAGCAAGGAGTCTGCTTCCTCGACCACCACCAGGTCTCAAGCTCAACACCGTCGGATCACCTTGCTGCATACCTCAACGTTTCTCACTTGAGAATGAATCTCCGCCGTCCGATCAAAAAAACAGAGAAGAAGAAAAGACTGAAGAAGCGATTGATTGATATAAAGAGAAATACAGAGAGATTGAAATTTGTGAATTTCGTTTGAAAAAGAAGATGAAGATTATCTCTCTCTTCTGCGGGAGCAAAGAAGAGAGAAGTATATAGAGAGCACGGTGAAGCGGAAAACAAACCCTTCTCCGATTAGGAATCGTTTTTTCTCTCTTTTTTTTTTTTATATTGTGCGTTTTGTTAAATAGCGTATATATTTAACTTAAATTACGTAATTGTCCTGGACTACCTTAGTTGGCGCTTGCACAAAATGACAATTGTGCCCTTTCAATTACGTCTTAATTCAAAAAATCATTTATTATATATATTTTTTTTGTATGAACCATTCGATATTTAAAAATCCATTGATTTATTGATTAATTCGAATTTGAGGAGACAGGATTCAATGGGTGATAAAACTCTTCCTCACGAGTTTTAATGAAACTATATTCTTAAAACTTAAAATCAAAACTTTTAATTAAATTAAAAGAATTCCAATCAACTCATTCACCTGCATTATATTATAGATATTATACTTTTTGTTCATTCTCCCTGTCCATGTAAAGGGAGAAAAGAAAGAAGAAGAAAAGGTGGCAGCCATAGAGAAAAAGGGAGAGAGGGAGAAAAAGGGAAAGATGATATCTTATATTCAGTTTCTTTAAAAAGTCTACGTTTCGTTTCTATCCAAAATTTCTCCCCCGGCGAGCGTTACTAATACAACCTTCGTCGTTTATCCCATCTGCCTAGAAAGATGCTTCCTTTTACCGGCTACCGGCAGCCGACCCCACTGCTCTCATGCTTGCCGTCTGGCTCGAACTCGAATCTCTGGCATTACAGCAAACCCTAACGCACACGTGTCCGTTAAAATCCCTGGATCATTTTTTTTTATATTTATAATTACCGGTGTTTGTTTTAATTTTTTATAAATTAATTCTAATCAATTATTAATAATTTAAATAATTTAATAATAATTCTTATAAATTAAAAGAAAAAAATTTTGAATTTAAATCATATTATATAAGGGAATAAGGTAAGTTAAAAAATAAATTATTTTTCATTATATAATATAAAAAAATTTAATTAATTATCAATAGTATTTAAATAATTAATCTAAATAGCCCTATATGGTCAACAAACTAGCTTTTGAGCACCTTAACCTTAATTTTTTTTTTTGAAGGACCTTAGTGTGTAATCCCAGATCAGTTTAACAAAATTAATTTTTTAAGATTTTAATTTTAAACGTAAGCTAGAAGATAGTATATTCTTTTCTTTTTTTTCACTAACTTTATAATATGTAAAAGTCTCCTATAAAAGAATTTCTCAATATCAATTTTTTTATTTATAAAATTTAAATATAAAATTTTATTTAAAAAAATCAAATTATTTCTATTTGAATCAATAAATAATTAAAATATATTTTTTTACTTAACCAGAGCTAAACACTTCCTGTGCGGTGAGGTTACAAGGAGCTGCCACGTACGTGATGACACCGATTTTGACACATGCAGGGTTTTTTTACTATTTACCGTAACTGTACTGACCGTCCGACGAAGTTTGTGGATGGAGAAAAGATTTTGACCCTTTTTACTCCGATCAGATGTGGAGAGTGGGAAGTGGAAGATCGTTCTGGATCTGCATAGGCAGTTGCTGCCGTTTTCACTCGTAGTGATGGCTTTGATGAGATTTAGCTACGTCAACAAATTAGTGACCTCAAGTTTTTTATTGAGGTTGGGAGTAAATGTGAAAAAAAAAGAAGTTAATTTTATTATTTTTTAAATAAAAATATCAACTTACAATATTTTTTATTTAATAATATTAATTTTCAATTTTTTTATTAATGGATATTAACTTTTAATATTCGATTAAAAAATTTATTTATCACATTAACATCATTATTCAGGTTGGGAGTAAAT